AGAAGAAGGTAGAATTATGGCTGTATTTGGTGCATCTTTCAGTCTAAACACAGCCATAATGACCGTACGTTGTATTCGGGAGAAGAAGGTAGAATCAGACCAACCAGTTCCATGTTTCAATCGTTCGCCAAGAAATCTGAGACTCCCAGTTTCCCGGGAAAAGAGACCTGCGTTCAGAAAAGAGGGGCGCCGGGGGGGGTTGAAGGGGGGAGCACGGAGTGAAAGGGGGAAGGGATGAAGGGGAGGGGGGGGGGGGGTGGAAAAAGCAAAAGAAACAGACGTGAGGCTACCGTCCTCCCCCGAGCACAACGCACCCATACGAATACGTCGCCGACATCCTTGATAAGACAGACAGGTCGTCTACACCCATGCCACAGGGACAGGGATATGCATGATGAGAGTGGTTTTTCTTCGGGGGAGGACGGGGTGGTGTATCCACTCTACGATCTCCACACGAGGAGGGAAGGGAGAGGGAGAACGTCAAGGAGGAGGATGAAGTACAAAACACAACGGGGAGGAGCTCTCCCACTACCGGTCGCAAATGGTTGCTGCGAATCAATCAACCTCTTCACAAGTCGATGAATATAATTTTATTTCGAAACCGATTTCACTGAATTACAGTTACAGTTCGAATTGCAAAAAAATCCTCACCATGATTTCAGCGTTCCCACCACCCACAATGCAGACACAAGCAGGGGGTACGCTTAATATCCTCCGGCTATGGGGCTGCTGGTCCCCCCTTCTGGTTTGGCTATGGCGCTGGTGGTCAAAGATCCGGCTATGGCGCTCCCGGCGGTTTGAAAGAAAAACAAAGGCAGCTACGTCGACGAGGAAGAGCGGTGTTGACGACAACAGTTAAGGGCCCCGCCGGGACTCCGACCGATCACGACGACAACAGTTACTGGCCCGCTCGGGACTCCGACCGATCACAACAGCACCAGACACGACAGCAAGTCGTGGAGCGGTGTTGACGGCCAAAAAAAAGAAAAGTACATGCGCGCAAGACAGCAGCTCTGCCTGCCACGTGTGCAGCAGCCCCTACTTCGCCGGCCGCTCCTGCCACGTGTCGATCTCCTACCGTAGTTGGCCCGGCTCTTCTGCCACGTGGGCACCTCCAAGTCTTCCGCCGTCGGCGACGCGAACAGTCTTACTCATACCCCAGGCGGCCATACATGCATATCGTCAACGGAGAGAACGGTGCTATACTGAAAAAAAAAAAACACAGATGAAATGCACATATATAGCAGCTGCCCGCGGGAGTTTTTTTTTTCTTTGTTTTACATGCCCGCGGGAGTTTTTTTTTT